AAACTGGAAAAACATATGACAATTTTCAGAGATAAGACAACAATAGTCCTTTGTTAGGGAAGTTTGCTTTGGTCAGTGAGGCGATTGCAGGAGCAATCCCCATATTGATAGAGAACCTCCTAACGATAGATTGAAGAGTCCAACGTGTTTTTTTTTTAGTCTGTCTTACTCTAACTTTCAACTGACTCTCAGACTTTTGCCTTACCTTTTTGCAGAGCGTAAGAGTCGAAATCCACATTTGAAACTAATCGTCCCCACCTCTAGCCTCCTTGAGAAAATGGGGAATCGGACTCCCTACCTCCCTCTTCCCAAGAATGAAAGGTGGCCATGGGGTTTGATTAGGAGCAGTGATGTTGAGAAAAGAGAGAGACATAAGAAATATTGCTATTGTAGCCTAGGCTAATAATTGTCTTTGTTCTTGTTATGAATATGTCTTTGTATTTGGTTTAGCACTGTAGTAACTTATAGTCAAGTTTACAAGAGTAAGTGCACTTATCGTGTATCCCGATAGTGTGATCTATCAAGTAAAAGGGCACTGCGCCAGCCAATTGTAACTTGCATTGCTGATTACTAGTGGAATCCAGTCGCTGTTAAGGCTGTTAGTTTGGGAGTGTATGTAAGCTTGCGGATAAAGCCGAATCACTATAAAACTCAGCGTGCTATCTTCTACCTCTTTATTATTAGCACACCCGATTAGGTTTATCTGTTATCAGCAGCACTCGTGATTGTTTGATATTCCGCAAAAATCTTCATAGTTTCTCATTCAACCTATTCACCCCTCTAAATTGTATTGTTAGCCCCAGCAAAGATGACTAACTTTTGGTTATTCTCGACAAGAATCAAACTTAGTTGATAAAAGTAGAGTTTGATCAACAATGGATAGAACAATTGACAATTTGAAGTAAATTGACAACTCGCAAAGAAAGTCATCCACAATATCTTGAAAGTTATTGACAAGAGCCTTCATAAAAAAAAAATTAGGAGTTAATCAACAAAGCCATTGATAGGAGCAATCGACACAAAAACGCAAGTGCTGCGTGATTATATTTATTGCCGCTATTTTACATTTTTTGCAATTTTTTGTGGGTGATTGTTGTTGAATAACTTCTTTGTAGATAAGCGTTGCACAAAGTAACTTCTCGTAACAGTAGATAAGATTAGAAAGTTATTTTTTTATTTGAATTCAAAAGTATTGTCTATAACCGTTGATAGTGGGCTATAAACACTCACATTGTACCTCTATCTTTTCTTTCTCTATTCGATATCACTAATAACTATTGTTCCCTCATACTTTTCCAATTTCTTATTATTTACTTTCCTATCCAAAAACAACAAAGGACCCTTTACAACCCGTGCCGATTCGCTCATCGATCTGTCCATATTCTTGAATGGTATTTCATCTTTTTTGGTGAAACAAGATTCAATTTACTTTCCATTTAGGATTTTGTCACTCTTTTAATTTGAACATGATGCCATTATTGTGATGGATATTTAATGGAATTTACAGGAGAAAAGTTTCGGGCTGCAACAATCTTTGGCATTTGCTTTATTATATAGAGAGACGATTAATAATAGGGTTAATACCATGAACAACCCCAAACCGATATATCTATGATAAATTTACCCTCCATTAGTTTTTCTTAAATTTTATCTTCAAATTCCTGAGCTGAATGACATGAAACAGGTGATGGGTGTACCGGTTTGGAATTATACTATCCGTTTGTCACAAGTGTACCGGTTTGTGATTTTTGCGGTATTAATCCAATTTAATGGAAACTGACGGAGGGGTAAATTTGTCACAAATGTACCAGTTTGGAAGTTTTTGGTGGTGAAAAAAATTAGTTTGAGGTAAATTTGTCACAAATATACCAGTTTGGGGTTGGTCGTGGTATTAAGCCTTACTAATAATAGTCTGTGTTTATAGAGATCAAATCTTATTCTCATATGGATTCCTAATCTAATAAGGAAACCAAACCTTATCTAATAGTCAAATAGATTAGGATTCTTAACTAACAAATTCAATATCTTTCATCGAATAATTTGGATATTATCCCTAAAAGGAAAAAAATGGTAATTTATTTGAATTATTGTTGTTTTGGCCACGAAATATTCGATCACTTTTTGTTACCTCTTTTCATCGCTTTATAAATCTTTTCGTTCTCCCACGTGGGGGTGGATCTCACATATAGAGAGTTCTTCTTCTCTATATACAGGCGAACCTTCGTCGTCCCTTGTGTCGAAGTCGAAACCCTAGTCTCATTGTAGGGATAAGGTTTTCTGGGTTAACGCTCTCCTTCCAAGGATCACCACGCAATCCGCTCAAACGGCATTGATGGTTCTCTGAGAAAGCCTTCACGTCAAGATCGATCTTGTCTATCGTCATTGTCATTATCAACGGGGAGACTATCTGCAAACTTGAAAAGGTATGTCTTGCATTCGCTTTTGGCCATTTATTCGATGATTATAGGCTAGATCTAGCATAAGCTAACGAAAGAACAAGGATCTGGAACATCACATGTATAAAGAGCGGTTTCCAGCCATTGTAGAGGTGACTGGCGGACTTGCATAATTGGGGTTTCGAATGAGATTCTTTTGAGTTAGATTCATTGGAAATCTAAAAGGTCATGTCAATGTAATGATTCTATTTAGAACTAGAAATTTTCAATTAAGTTAAATCTCTAAGTAATTTTTTTTTAGAAGTGACAAGTTCTTGTTGAGGCTAATAATGCAATCTGGGATGAATACGGTGATTTGACAAGTTTTCGGGGAATAACTCAAATTAAACTTCGATAGATACAGACACATTTAATAATAGCATATGCAAACACTTCTATCGAGCAAATAATGAGATGAATAAAGAGACCGCAGATATTGCATACATATACATTTATATCGAGACTACATTCACTCTGCCAGACTAATAGTCACCAAAAAGGTTGTAATTCACTAGTAATTTTCAAGAGGGGTTATGTTACTGATAGATGATACTATCAATACACAAGCATGTCTAACAATATTGTTACTACTCTCATCCCAAATTATAGATATAAGCGATCTTCATAGTGAATACAATCAGAAAAGCATAGCTTCTATCAACCAAAATAGAACAAAGATGAGCAACTGAACCGTTAGACTAATATTGTTCATTTCCCCAACTATACTACTTCCCTTGAATTGAATTTGTAGCTATTAAACCTCACATTATCACTTGAAACTCAAATACAAGTAGCGTTGGTTCCGTCATTTATAAGAGCTGAACTTTTCTTTGTTGCTTTGAAAGAGATAGTTTCCAAAAACAAACACTTCTACTTTAACTTAAGAATTTGCCATCTCTGTTGCCTGCTCACGTATGGTAAACAACTATGATATCTCCGGTCCACTTTTGCAAATCCCAAAGCTTGTAACGACCCATTAGACACCACTTTGAATTCAAACCAAATTGGAAAGAGGTTTGGATCCTCTCATCCAAGTGGTAGAATCACGTTACATGTCATCCACCTCGTCTGATAAGAGCTGCTTCTACCCACGGTCCCTCCAGTCTATTTACGGTCACACTTTAACTCACTGTTCATCTTTTACTCACTTGTCCTTCTAAGCATACTCACTTTTTTTTTTGGTTCTACTCAACTGTTCACCTTCTACATAGGTCCATCTTAGTCACCACGCACTCCTCATTCTATCATACTTGTTTACCTTCTACTCAGGTACTTCAAGTTTTACCGAACTCCTCGTTTTAGGCTTGTTCACCTTCTGTTAAGTCCCATCCAACTAATAGACACATCGGGCTAATACCTTGTTCACCCTTAGTAGAGGTAGAGCACTCCAACCCATTAGAGGATCCTTTTTTGAACACTATCCACATATGAATATGTGTATGTAGAGGGAGTATCTTCCGCACACTCAATTACACATGTTAGTATACTCAGAATGTTTTGTTATTTTCAAAACACTATAGGCATTTTTCTTAACAATTTTGATACGACAATAACACAATTAGATCATGACACAAAGTCAACGAGTATAAGGTTGAGACTGATCGTGTTTGGCTTAATTTCGTATCAACTTGCGAGACACAATAGATAATCGTGTTGTGTTTGTGTCAAATCCACCATATACGAAATCAACCCACACGACCCGTTTAAATTAGCGGATTAGTGTTAACAAGATTTGGTATGTGATCCGTTTAGATATGATTAGCTAAAAGATTTTACTTTTCATTTTATGTATTATTGTGATTTTAAATTGATGGGTTAATGTCACTAGCGGTCCTTAAACTTTTACCCGAAAGTCAAAACCATCTATTTACTTTCTTTTGTTGAAAAGATGTCAATGTACCACTGTTAGTCCTTCCGCATGCTTTGTTTTTATTGTCAGTTGGTTTTGTTGAGGTGGACCGTCAAGTTAGCGATATGAAACGGTAGAGTAAACGTGTCATGTTAGGATATCTTAAAAGTCATTATTTTGGAGCCACATAGGTACAAAATCAGCAACACAAAATATAGATAAATCAATGGAACCTCAACCCTAAGTCAATTTAACTTATCCTATGTGGTTTGCCGGAGAAATCTTCACAATATCGTGTTAGTAGTAACGTCATTTAGCAACTCGAGAGGGAGATATTTGTTTTACCCAACACTTTGCCATGATAAGATAACCTTACCATAAATGTGCAATGTGTTATCAATCATGAAGTTGTGGAACCAAACTCTCCAATAGTTTTATAACTTATAATATCATTTTCTCCCATTTTACACATAAATCTTAGTACTTCTATTACCATATCGATGACTCAATTTAAATAAATTAAAAAGTCAAGAAATCAATCGACGGATGGCCAAAACATTATGGATTGATTTGGAACTTATCCCCACATTAGATTTTTATTATAAAATACTATTAGTATTCACCACTTAAATTTTGGTGCCAAAACTTGCATTAATTTTTTTTCAGATTTCTTAGACATATCGAAGTCTCGAACGCGACACTGCACCATCAAGTTACCTGCTGCTTCTAACATGTCTACTTTCCGCCGGACAGGGCAACTACTACTCCAGGTATGTATTTAATGACCAAGTTATTGGCTTGATGATAAAGTTGAAGTTTTGAATCTTAAGGTTTACCGATATTCCTTAGCTTATATTGTTTTATGGTAAAGATTATAAATGGTATCGATGCGGCTGTTTATTGATGCCCCGTCATTAAAACATTAGATATAAAACAAGATGATAATGACAGTGATAAGGCATTGGAAATGGTGCAAAATAGCTAGTAGCATGAGCCAGTGTAAGTGGACGGGTGGCGATCGGTGATTGAAGCATCAAACAGTACTGATGATTGTGGTGTTAGTGGTCACAAGTGGTGAAAAAAAACCATCCCCCAAGGAGGTGTTGATTGTCGATCTATGAAGGCAATGATGATGAGGGTTATTTTTCTGGGAAAATATTGGGTACAGCAGATTTGCCAAGTTAGATAACATACTATTCGATTGACATGTGTCCGGTGGGGCCTACAGTTCAGATTTTTCAAAAATCCCTTTCTCGTTCACCTTCTCTCTTGCATTAACATCGTCCTCCTTGTCTCTCTCCTCCGTTTCTCTTCTCCGTCTTCCTTCGCTCACTAAAGCTAGTTGTCCCTCTAGGGCGTTGTTTCTAATCGTGAATTGGACGAGGGATGGTAGGAGTGATTGCGGGATTTTGCCGAAGATTGCATTGTCGCTCGCGTCCAGGTAGAGCGGGCTGCCGAGCAAGCTATGCGCCGCCGGCGAGCTTGTTGGACTGGACCTTCAGTCGGGTCAAACTCGAGAGGACGCCAAGGCTGGCGTGGATCGAGCCCTCGAGCGTGTTGCTGTCCAAGTAGAGCTCCCTGAAGTTGGAGAGGGAGGAGATTGAGTCAGGGATCGAGCCGGAGAGCGAGTTGCGGGATAGGTCGAGTTGGCTCAGCCGTGTTAGGTTGGAGAGAGAGCCGGGAATGGGCCCGGTGAAGTAGTTGCCCGAGAGATGGTCTGGACGTAAGGGAGGTCCCAGGAGATGGAGGCGAGGGGGCCCAAGTAGCTGGCCTGGTCGAGGGCGAGTTCGGTGAATTGACTCGCATCCAAGTCGTCGATGGCTTTGCAGCAGAAGCTGCAGGTGAACTTGTCGCTGAAGAGGACGTTGCAAAGGAGAGAGACGGAGAAAGAGAGTAACAGAGGGGAGAGACAAGGTGGGGGTGTTTATGGAAGAGAGAAAGTCAGTGAGAAAGGGCTTTTTTGAAAATTTTGAGATGTGGGCCCCATCGAACACGTGTCGATGAATGAATGAGGTGTTTTATTACTGACTTGGCAAATCTATTATACACAATATTTTCTCCATCTCTTGACGGGCTACAACCACACATTGATGAGGAACTAATTGCTATGAATGGTCAAGCATGATCATGGTGACAGCAATAAAGTAGCAAGCACATACCACAAAAAATTTCAAATGGTATATTCATGCCATATTTACTTCAAATTAATTTTTGTGTTGAACAGACTACTAAACTAATATACCCGTGTCACATTTACGTCAAATTAATTTTTGTGTCATGAAAAATCTCAAATTGATACACTCGTGTCATATGTATCTCACACTGGTATACACATTCAACATTTACCCCAAATTGGGGTAATTATGGGACTTCTTTTGGGTAACTCTGACATAGGTGTATCAGTTTGGTATAAATGTGGCACGGCTATACTAGTTCGAGATTTCTTTTTACCGAAAAATTAATTTGGAGTAAATATGACACGGATGTATTAGTTCAAAAAATTATTTGGAGTAAATGTGGCACTAATGTACTAGTTGGGTGTTTTTTTTTATTATTTCGGTTATTCTATTAGGTATGCAACTATACATGTACTTTTTTATACTAATATACCCGTGCCACATTTACGTCAAATTAATTTTTGTGTAATAAAAAATCTCAAACTGATACACTCATGCCATATGTACCTCACACTGGTATACACATTCAACATTTACCCCAAATTGTGGTAATTATGGGATTTTTTTGGCTAACTATGACATAGGTGTATCAGTTTGGTATAAATGTGGCACGGCTATACTAGTTTGAGATTTTGTTTTTACATTAAAATTAGTTAGGGATAAATATGGCACAGATGTATTAGTTCAAAAAATTATTTGGAGTAAATGTGGCACTAATGTACTAGTTGGGTGTGTTTTTTTATTATTTCGGTTATGCTATTAGCTATGCAACTATACATGTACTTTTTTATGCTAATATACACGTGCCACATTTATGCCAAATTAATTTTTGTGTCATAAAAAATCTCAAACTGATATACTTGTGCCATATGTACCTCACACTAGTATACACATTCAACATTTACCCCAAAATTGTGGTAATTATGGGATTTTTTTTGGGTAACTATGACATAGGTGAATCAGTTTGGTATAAATGTGGCACGGCTATTCTAGTTTGAGATTTTGTTTTTACATTAAAATTAGTTAGGGGTAAATATAACACGGATGTATTAGTTCAAAAAATTATTTGGAGTAAATGTTGCACTAATGTACTAGTTGGGTGTTTTTTTTATAATAATTTCAGTTATGCTATTAGCTATGTAACTATACATGTACTTTTTTATACTATGACTAAATTTGAATCATAGCTATAAATCAACTTCTATATTGTTGATAAAAATTTGTGTTTTGAATTGTATTATCTTGATATCTATGGGGTGCTACACTCATGATTAGATAAAAAAATGATAATTACATTAATAAAATATTTATTTAACATAGTCATGTACTTAACTTTTAACTGTAATCATGAATAAATCATTAAAATACAAATAATTTGTTGATATGACAAATTCTGATGTACGAAAATATATATGGGATATCAAACCCATGCATCATGATTAACTAGCAAAGTTTGATAACTATTATTTCCCGTCTAATTCTGATTTCGGGGGTATTTTGAGAATTTTAATGTTACTCCCTTTCATTATATATGTTTTTCATGAAACCAAACAGTGCAATAGTGACTTTGCTCTAAAATTTTGTTAGATGAACCGACCAATCAGAGGCCGAGAGGAAATTTGCCTCTTAGATTGGAAACATGGCTATAATTATATCCACATGTGGTTGCTGCTTGTTTACAATTTTTATCCAGCTCAGAAATTTATAAAATTCTTTTTGTAAACAAAAGTTGACATACAAATCTTCTCCATCCATCTTCAGAAGAAACGAAAACTTGACCAATCCTTAGAAAGTGGAGAGTCTTCAGTAGACCATGGACAGGCAATAGAGAAAAACATTCACCTTAATGTCAAGAAATTGGTTACTACTCTTTCCTGTGTAACCAATTTTGCTGACATTATTGGTGACAGATTGGATGACCAAACTGTCCACAACTCATGCATTTCATCAACTGGTGTGTCCACCAGCATAGAAGGCCATGAAGAAAAGCAAACTAACTCTTACTCTGCTCCATCAACTGTGGACCTTGTTTCTCCGTCAGTTGTCATGGATGGATCAGTGCATGATGGCTCACACTCGTGGAGTCAGCAAGACATGGCTTCCCGAAATCAACCTCCGGAGGATCCTAGCGAGATCGGTTCGGACTTTTCAGATGCGGACGAGGAGTCAAATGTAACGATCCGAAGGCGAGTGTTCTCTCTATTGTACTTAGACGACGAGTACCCTCCAAGACCCATGGTACCAATCGGCCCCGCATTCCAGGCGGAAATCCCCATATGGGTGGGCACGTGCACCAAAGACAATCACAACACCTTGGAAAGCACAAAATATATAGGCACCCGCGTTTGGCCTATCGAAGACGGAAGCAATGGACAAGGAAGGCATGAGCTTTGCTCTTGTAAGTCAGCAGGATCAGCTAACTGCATTGAAAGGCATGTGTATGAATCCACATTGAACTTCAAGCTTGATCTCGGCCCGGCTTTCTGGACTCGGGAGTTCGATGAAATGGGAGAGGAAGTCTCGAGGACATGGACAATGAGAGAAGAAAATCGGTTCGAGATGCTCATGAAAACAAATCCGCTGGTGAACCAGCAAGCTTCTGGGACAAAGCGTCGAAGTGCATTCCGACCAAGAGCAAGGACAGCATCTTGAGCTACTATTACAATGTGTTCGTCCCCAAACGAAATGCCATGCAGTTGAGGTCGTCGACTGAGCAAATTAATAGTGACGAGCCTGAGTCTGATGAATGATGGGAAAATTTGAAGCTTGTGAGTTCATCGAGACCTCAATATTTCCATTGGTTCTTCTATATAATTATGCCAGTACTCTGCATTTAGTCGTTATTTATTTCCGTACGTTCCATTATGTGGGTAGTTCATTATGTTATGATTTGCTGTTGATCATTGATGGGGACATTTGCATAATTAATAATTAACCAATTGATGGGAATTTATGGTCGTTGTATCAAATGTTCTATGCTATGGGTGTGATGGGCCACGCGCACTGCCGTGATATGAACATTTTGTGTTGCTAGTAGATTGGAGGATGAGTGATTCTTGATAAGAAAGAAAGATTAAAAGAGAATGGTATTTATTCTCTTATAATGGTTGTGGGAAACAATGTACATGAGAAGCCTTTATATAGGCTTAGAGGAGTAAAGGAGCCTAGCATTCTTCCTATGTGGGACCAAAGAGAAAGAAGAGATGTAAAGAAAAACCTACAAAACTATACAACATGTTCTAACAATTCTATCATTTGATGATACCAATCCTAGTTGCGGGTGACTACCGGGTCCAATTAATCTGTAAATTGGACTGAGCCGGTATGGACATATCAATTCAAGACGGGTTCTAGAATGAATTGGTTCTGCTCCGCAAACCTAGGATCAGCCCAAGGCCGCTTCAATTTTCGATTATTTGGTTGAAACCACCAATTCTATTTGGGAACCAGTTCAACCAATCAAGGTCACGGTTGAACTAGTTCTAAACTAGTTTTGAAACCTCTTTTAGGAAAAAAAAAAGGAATTTTGTACCCATAAAAAATTGAACCATGATTTTCAACATGAACAAACAATGTTATAACAACTTGACCAACAAATACATTTGTGATCAATTGGTGCAATAATTTTGCTCATAACATAAAATGGGCCGGTTAGGAACCGGTGGTTTGAAAACCAGCTAGTTCTATTCGCGGTTACAATCTTTTAGAACTTGGGATCACAATGTAGGTTCTTAGTTTAGGCCATGATCTGAGTCACCATCAATCTGGTCACCTCTAATTCTAGATGAATAATTGATGTGATGTATCAAGTAGAGAGAGAACGGTTTTAGGGTGAGTAGGTTCCAAACATAAAGCTGGATCCTATGTTGTCATAGTCGATCCCAATTTTTGGAATTGGCAATTGAACTCGTTTGCTTGGGAACTGGCTTAGAAGCAAATCGGCTGGTTTCAAGCCAGTTTCATGCTTGACTCCGGAACTGAGCTTCGTGAACAACACAACAATAACATTTACATAAGTCTTGGGCTATTTGCTATAATAAAACAAGAAAACAAGCTATACAAAAGTCTCAATAAACATACATTAGAAGTAAAATAAATAATTGCTTGAATTGTAAAGGGCCACGCTTTTTCCACTCTTCCTTTGGCTTAGACACTCATTTTTTTTTGTGTTTTGATCATACTATCCCTTGTGGGGTCCATCACTTATGGTACAACTCTACAAAAGTGATCTTTTTATTTTATTTTATTATTATTTGGTTAAATATTTTTATTTTGTTTCTTCTTTTTTTCCTTATGGGTCACACTTTCCTTATTCTTTCTTTCATTTCATGCCTTTTACGTCTCAGTTGTCTGCTCTTGCAAATCGTCGTTCTATATTCTCTCTTGTAAGCCATTCGCTTCTTTCTACGCTTCCTGCTCTTTCTTCTTCTTCTTCTTCCACAAATTATCTGCAATCCCAAAAGAACTGCTTACTTCAACAATTTGCACCCTCCTCATTCGCTATCGGAGGTACAGTTCTGGTTGTTTAAAATCAAGTTCAACTCTACACACAACTACAGTCTAAGGCTAAAAGCAATAGCTGCAACACAAATGAAAGAACAAATGCAGCATTGTAGCAGTGTGTTCTAAGAAATTAATACATGCAAGTACAATTTTTATTTCAAAACTCGGGCACGGCATTGAAAACTGCAATCAAATTAAACCACTAATGCGAATCTCGCTTCATATTACCTTGATAGTTTATGGGATGCCTTGTTAGGCAAATAAGCCTATAGCCCATATTCAACAAAAGTAACCACAAAAGGCAGTTACTTGTGTTTTAGTAGGATGCAACTCTTACCAAAAAAAAAAAAAAAACTTCCGAAATGGAAGTTACGTTCTTTATTTCTTTAAGAAATAAGGAGTAAGAAGAAACGAACACAACGAACATAAAAAGGAAAAAAGTTCCTCTCACTCTCACTCTCGATCGTTCTCTTATACGCTCGAAGAACAGAAATCGGAACTCTCTCGAAGTTGTCAACGTGCATTTAATCTATGGAAATCAAGGTACGTTCCATTGCGTTATGTACCTTTCGATCAGTGATTCAAGTATTCCTAGGGACGTTTTCCCCATTTTCTCGTGTATGGTATTTGGTATCCATGTTTCCAACATTAGTATCATAGCAACGTCTTGTTTTTGTTTCCTGATCGTATGTTGTTTGTAATAGACACTAGTGCGATAGACTTGTTTTTGTACGCACTGTTCACTGTTAATATGTGTTTTTTGGCTTGTTAATCAATATAGACTGGCCAGAAATTGCGAATTGGTTCCAATGGCCGCTTGGGTACGAAAATGACAATTGGGACTACTTCTCGGAGTTCCGCCCATCAAAAATCATTTTTTTGAATACACGGGATGGTAGCACTCATCGAGACGAGTAAAACAAGGGATAGAACGTTCCCGGGGGGGGCAGAGGCGCAAGGGGCAGCCATACCACACGCACTGGAACTATCCAGCGCGTGGGTGTCACGTGCCCGCATACATGGTATGGCTGACATTAGCCACGTGGATCACTAGTCGGGCCAACCCGATTCGGTTGACCCGATGACCTAGTTGACCGACTTGACCCAATTGACCGATCTGACCCGATTGACTGGCCCGTTGACTAACCCAAAAAAAAAAAAATGGGAGCTCCAATCGGAGTGCTCTTGGTATCGGCTTGTTCGTGGAGGAATGCTCTACATTATGGTATATTCATATTACATGTTTGATGCTTGTATGGATGTGAAAATGCATAATGATACCCCATAATTTGCATATTTTTTGGGTATTTGTGGCATTTTCTTATGTATTTTGGGAAATACAATTGCTAGCTCATGTGTATATGAATAAGCGTTCCCTATTTTGCTATACTATGGATTATGAGTAATCCTTTTGTGTTCTGCATTTGTTGCAGAAACAATGGTACATAGGATACATTCGCCTATATTCCCAAGAACGGATGAACAAAAGTCGAGACTCTTGAGGCTAAGAAATGAGTTAGCCATTTATCGATGGGATGGTCGTGTTGACATGATGACGCACATTATTAAGGTCAACAAGATGATACAATATATCATTTGGAATGGTCACCTTATGCCAGATTTTGAGAAGGTTAAAACCCTAATAGCCACTCTTTCAATGGAATGACAAGAAGTGTTGGATGGTCTTTGGGAAATCAACATTGTTCTAGACTATAAGAAACTTGAAGATGATATCCTGAGAGAATATATAAGGGATAACGAAGACATCGACCCTTGGCATGAATGCATCTTGGCGCATAATGAATGCGCCCTGGCGGAACCCTAAGGCTGCGTTTGGTCGTCCGTATAAAACTCGGGATAGGATATATTTTATCCTATCCCGTGTTTGGTAGGTGTCCCAGATAGTATAATGTCGGATATAGAGGGGATATAACCCGGATAAAAAAATCTGAGGGGAGGGGGTCGGATAAGGTCGGATAGGATTTCTCCTATCCGTCATATAAAAGCAAATTTTTAGAAACCTTACCCTTCATTCACGCGCTTCACCCACGCGACTCATCGAGATGCTGAATTGGAAGGACCCGCAGGAGGAGGAGATCAGGTGGTCGTTCGCGGAAATACTATTGAAGCTTGCCGGGAAGAAGCGCTTTTCCGCACCTCGCCGGCGACATCAGAGAAGGTCCGACCCTCTTCGTCGCTTCTTCTTCTTCTTCTTCTAGGCGCGTCGACTGCTCTGCTCAGCTCAGCTCAGGTATTGTTACTGTCCTCTCCAGTTTCGCACCGTCGTCAATGGCGTTCGTCGTGTTCGTCGAATGGTATCTAGTTCGCGGTGGAGCAAGGAATCGGTGGCCCTTCTTCCTTGCAATTGCTGATTCAGTTCTGTTCGATTTGTCTGTTTCGAAAAACAACGCGATTGTGGACGATGAAGGAGCCCACCATCTCACTATTTCGATTGTTTGTTTTGTGCTTGCGATGCTCTGTGGTTCGGTGGAGTTGAGGTTTGGTAACTTGGAGCTTGTCTCTCCGCTCTTCGCGGCTTCAGTTGATGTCGAAAGATGGCTTTTTTATTTCACATTCGAGTTCCATCTTTGTTATCCCATTTAAGATGTTCTTCCAACGTTGTTATATGTAAACCCTGGTATTTGATGCTTTTGCAGATCAATGGGTGGCCTGGCTGTTAATAAGAAGAAGAAGGGTGCGGGTGCGGTGAAGCCTCCGCCTAAGAAGAAGCTGAAGAATGATTTGTTTGCAGAAAAGCGCTCGAAGAAAGACGATGATGACAATTTTCTTGTCTCATTTGTTTCTATTTTCATTTTTTTTTCAAAGAAATTTTAAAATCTAATAAAATGTCATATTTTCAAGTTTATTTGTGTATGAGAATGTTATTTTTATAGTAATAAGATCGAAATATTTCATGAGCATCACGTAAGGGTATACATGTCCTTTATATTGATATACAGTTTCTACCAAACGCAGGATATGATAGGATATGAGAATATCCGACTTTAAATCCGTACTTCACCAAACAGTGGATAGGATATGATCAAATCCCCAGATTTCCTATCCTATCCTATCCAATCCTATCCTGACCAGAAATACGGACAACCAAACGCAGCCTAAGGGATTTCCAAGTGTTTTCCCTTGGCTACCAAATTAACCATAAGATTTGCTAAGGAATTTTATGAGTCTTTTCCAATTTATGTGCAGCATTTGAGGAATTGAGGTTATGTCTTTAGGTTTAGTCATCACTTATGGATATTTTCTTTATGTTGATATTTATCATTTCTTCAGGACTAGTTGAGATGGAAATCTTATTTGTCATTTCTGGAATATTTATTTGTTAAGTATTCATTGGCTTTGCTCTTATATTTATATTGCCTTATGTATGTTATATGTGAGTGGAAAGTTCTGGAAAGTTTTAGTAGCTTAAAAGAACTTAATTTTACATAAATAATTATATTAATGATAATTTCAAATT